GGTCTCACGTTCACTGCTGACCTGAGATGGAACAAATACATTGAGTCAATTGCTTTGTCCACTGCAAGGAAAGTTGGTTCCTGTGCCGCACCAGGAAGTTTTTTCTCCAGGGAATCGATCCTTCAGATCTACAAATCAACAATTCGCCCCTGCATGGAGTATTGCTTCAATATATGGTCTGGACCCCCTTCTGTTTGCCTCAGGGTTCTTGATATGATCCAGAGGCGGATGTTCAATATAATTAGCCCTGCTCTGGCATTTCGTCTACAGTCGCTCTCTCACAGACGCGCTGTCGCCTCTCTCTGTTTTTTGCAAATACTTTCATGGTAATTGCTCCGAGGGAACTACATTTGCTGTTTCCCAGAACTTCATGAATTCAAGCGCCCTACGAGGCTGGCATCCCGCTCTCACCTTTCACCGTTGAAACTACTAAATGTAGACGTCTCTTCTACTCCAAGGCTTCATATCACGCACCTCTCGCCCTGTGGAGCTCCCTTCCCTCTTCAGTTTCCCTGAGAGCTATAATCTCAATTATTCAAATGTAATGTCAATTGACATCTCCAGTTGCCTTGATCTATCCACTATCCTTCTCCTCATCCTTTCCTCTATCACTCCCATCTGATCTTGCTCCAAATTTTCTGTAACACCTTGCGTCCTAGTGGTTTCCCCTTTGCTTGGGGTGAAACGCTTTAAAAAATAAAATGAGTATACTATATATATATATATATATATATATATATATATATATATATATATATATATATTGGATGTGGTTATATTATTATTATATTATTATTATTATTGTTGTTGTTGTTGTTTCTATTTGACATTATAATTTGAATTGAATGTTCTATGAATTTACAATGTTCAATTTTTCTCTATTTATATATGCAACATTTATTCATGAGACTTAGATTTTGTCCACTTGTGAGATAAGAGGTTGGGATTTTGTCCAGTGTGGTTTTGTCTGATGGGGATTTTTTTCTGGGATTTTATCTACTGGGACATTGTTTTGTTAACGAAATCATTAACTCTACAAAGACAGAATTTATGATTGTCTCAGAAAGAGAAGTAGGAAACGGTAATGTCAAAATCAAACAAATACAGAAGTTCAAATATCAGGGAGGTGATTTATCAAAGAATGGAAAATGCGAGAACGAAATCCAAAAAAAAAAGGAACCGAAATAATATAGCTGAACCCATGACACCAACTGAAGCTGCACTCAGATTAGAACTTCCAACGTATAGTACCAGCGCGCAAATGTGGTTCGTCCAGCTTGATGCAATTTTCCAGGTGAGGCTTATTACTTCACAACAATCCAAATTCGCATTTGCGGTGGAGAAGCTACCTGCCGACGTGGAATCGGAAGTAGCGGATATCCTTACAAATTTCCCACCAGATAAATCTTACGAGGTGCTCAAAGTGGCTATGCTCCAACAAACAGGTTGCTCGGAATAACGCAAAAATAAAGACCTCTTAAATATAAACCTAGGAAACAATAAACCTGGGAAACAATAAACCTTCCCAACTCTTACGCAAGATGCAAACCTTGCTTGGCACCAATACTATGTCTGAGACAGTATTAAAACAAATGTGGCTAGACAAGTTAAAGCCTGACATAGTTCAAATTCTCGCTGCATTAACTAACGAAGTGGGTAACCAAATAGCAGAAAAGATTATTGATACCCGACCGACTCATCAAATCGCCTCCGTCATGCCGTCAAACGATTTGCCTCCAAACACCAATCAAGAACTGCAAGGCTTAGCATCAGAATTGAGAAAATTTCCCTACGTCTAGACGACATCTAAAACACATCAAGCAGAAGACGGAGCAACTCAGCGAGTCGACACAACATTCAACGACGAAGATTTCAAAATGTTAAAATGATACTGGGAAACACGAAACGTTTATGTATAATCAATCCTATTATATGGTAGTGAATGTTTGAAAACTCATCCTGACTAAAAAGGAGAATAGGGGGCAATAACAATGTGGTTCTACAGAAGAATGCTGGGGATGTTATGACCTCTTAAGGAAAGTCGAAAGGAGAAAAAAAGCTGAATTATAATAAAAATAAAAAAGGGGATAAATTTCTAGAACATAAAATCAGGAAGGATGTTTTAGCGAAATGAAACTCACAGGACATATAGAAAGGAATGGGTGGATGAAGCCTGTCACCTACCTAAAGTGCTACAGATGGTAGCAGGCTGTGGAAAGCAGTGATTGCCCATATTCTCAGGGAACAAAACACGTAGAAGTGCACAATGTATAGGTGTTCAATTTTTTTTTTAAATCTAACACAAATCATACAGGTGAATACCTGGTGCTGCAAGGTTGGAAGTGCGGGTGGTGTAATGGAACATCCCTCGAGGTTATTAAGTTCCAATTCGATTTGGGTTTTGTTATATTCACTTACGCGAAAATACACTGGGAAGAAGTATTAATACACCTCTTCTCCCCCAGCTATGGGTTAATTAGTAAGACTTCTATCGGAACAA